TATTAAAATTACTGTTAAGCTTTTCAATCTTAATTATACTCACTTAGTCTTGTTATATGCCTGTTTGAACTCATTATTTACAGCGTTCAAGATATGAGGGGAATTGGGGAAACGTTTCCTTTAATCCGTCTTGAAAAAAAAAAAAAAAAAAAAGAAGAAAATCGATGACTTGCTTGAGCAACAAGTCAAAACGAGTATTTTCTTCACAAAAGTAACAAAAAAATCAAATCCACACGAAGAATTTTATTCTTTTTATACAAAGTAAGTTACTGACTGATAACAGAAAAAAATTATATATATTAAGATTTAAGATTTAAAATTTAAATCTATTAAATATTATTTTAAAAATATAATTATATAATCAATTGAGACCGATATTTTTTTATAATTAAAATTATCATGTATTAAATTATAATTACTGAAATTGAAAGATTCAATATTTTATCAAAATATCATAAGTTGATATTTATAATTGTTTAAGGAAAAGAAATATACTAGTTGCTTTTCTTGTTCACATTTGCTTTTTCAAAACCAATAATTAAAATGTGAAATAAACAAGTTAGAAGACATGATTCTCTTAGAAAAATAAAGTTGTTTTGCAACTTTCCCCACTAGACCAACTTGTTAAGGCAGCTTCTCCAACTTCAATCTTTCATATATATATATATATATATTCAAGTTAGAAAAGAATGGAAACATACCCTATTTTTAATGTAAAAACAAAAAAAATGTGCTCAACTTTGTGTTGAAGCTTTTCTATTTAATTATTTATTTGATTGATAATTTGTTTGTGGTCTTGGTTAGACGCGGTATTTATGGGGGGAAAAGGAAAAGCAAATTTCAAGGAAGTGAATGTATGCTTTTTCCATCACATTCCCATTTTAAAACTTTTTCACCACTTGCATTTTACAAGGAAGTTTCGTGGGAAAACAACTTAGCTAGGGATTTATTCTCTCACTTCTCTTTCTCACTCTCTCTCTCTTTCAAGACATTGATTTCTGACTTCTTCCTAATCTGCTATAATAGTCCATATTCTATTCCCCAATATTTTGTTTAATGTCATATTATTACGGTTGAAAAAGAAGTAAATTATATTTTAATTATAATATGGAGACCCACATTTAATTTTGGGATATTATCAGGTTTTATATGAAAATCTTAATGTTTTATCTCATAAAAAATATTTTATAAAATTGGATTTAAATTTTTATTTATATATTATAGTAAATTTTTAGCATATTTTGATATTGGATTGAGATAATCATAATTTTTATACTAAAACTTGATGTTTTTGTCAAGCATAACATAAAAAACTTACATCAGATATTGAAATTTTAGATGTGATTTTTATTGCGTGATATCTTGCATATTTGTAAAATCATATCTTGCAGGTGTGTGGTGTCTGTTATATTTTGATTCGAGATATGATATAAATTTAAAAGTAAAAGAAAAAATTATAATATTAAAATTTAAATTCTAAAATGATAAATATTACTTTTTAAAAATAAATATGAATCAACTTAATTAAAATTTGAATTTAAAATGAATTACTTTTAACGCTAAAGAATAAGCAACAAAGTTGATTATAATATCCTAAGGGAACCTTTATGGCTAGCTATTAAAGTTTAAAATTTTATTTTAAAATGAATGAAATGAGATTTATAAAAAATTCATAAAAATAAAGTTAATTTTGAAAGAAAAATAATTAAACAAAGCCTACCACACATGTTAGGAATACCATTATTTCATTAGTTTCCAATTATGTCATCTTAACTTTATATTGGAACTAAGAATAAAGGAAACACTAACCGAAGTCGGTAAAATAAAATATGCTTCCACTGCTTGCTTAAAATCCTTAATTAAGAAGCTTTATCTTATGCGTGTTAATCAAATATTCTTAATTATCCTCTCATTAGTTGATAATGCTAATTAGGGAAAATGAAACAAGAGTTTGGAATTTTGCGTATAGTCAAAATATGGAGTCTGGACCATGACTACACCCCCAATTTTCATTGTTAATTTCATTGCTCAATGGGCTTCTTGGTCCTCAACATTCAATGTGAGGCACAAAATAATATGGGCCTGGTGGATTCCAAATTAAAGAAAAAGAAAAAAAAAATTGGGGTTGATGTATACATTTCTATCTCAATATCTCTTTGTGTTGGCTATGGATGTATTATCTGCTATGTTAAATGCTGCAGCCAGGAACAAGCATTTTGGATATATACCGTCCTTGTTGTAAGAGGGTTAAGCTAACACATTTGTGTTTTGCTGATGGTTTGATGGTATTTCCCAATGGTGCAAAGGAGTCAGTTTATGGCATTCATACAGCGACGAAGAAAAACCGAGTTATTCTATGCAAATATACAAGCTGATATTCTCAAAGAAATTCAGAATGGGATTGGTTTCAAGCTTGGTCATGATCTACCTGGCAGATACCTTGGGTTAACTGACAAGCATTGTGAGCCACTGCTAGCTCCAAATAAGTTTCTGCTCGTATCAACACTTGGGCTTCCAGGAGGCTTTCTTATGCAGGTACATCACAATTCGTACAATCTGGATCGTTCAATTTGCAGAAATTTTGGTGTTCCCTGTTTGTTTTGCCAGGAAGAGTTTTCCAAAAATTGAATCAAATGTGTGCTGCGCCTATCATGATCATCTATTTTTCTCTTGCTGTTATTCAAAAGACAAAAGTAGTATGGCAAAAGGTCTTGCAGATATCTGGGTTCAAAAGGACTCCTCGAAATTGGTCAGATGAATCAACTCCAATGGGCACTCACTCACCTAAAAGGAAAACCAGCCTACTCTATCCTGAGTTCCTGACAGCTTACATTTATCATATAAGCCATGGATACATTCCAATAATGTAGAATATTTTTGTAGTTGAAAAAGCTGAGGACTTATGTTTAGTTCTTTCCCTCTTTGGATGTAGGGTTGCAATCATGAAGCCATAGATGCCAAAACAACCGACTCTTTGTACTACTACATACACGTCTGCCCCCATGGTATATCACTTGGCAACTAAAGACCTAAATTCCAGCTGACACTTTGTTTAATGTATACTTCAATAATTAGAAAGAAAAAATGCCATCCGATTAGATTTCTCCATTTTAGAAATCAGTCACAATTATTTCCAAAAAAGAACATGATTTTGTTTTTTATAAAATGGGTATTTTCAAGTTTTAATATGGATTCAATCTCCATAATTAATTACTAATTAACATAATAATAATTTAAACTCTCAAAAAAAAAATGATGTGGCTCATAGCATGAAAAAATAATGTATTGATCATTGGGCGAAATACCCATCCCCATCGCTCTCATGCACAATGAAAACCTGTTTTTTGGTTGTGAATTATGAAATGCATCAATTTTGATTGAATGAAACAACGAGAGAACTTGACAATCGTGTAAATTATTAATAAAGTGTTAAATTCTTAAATTTGGTAATCATGATTCAAATTTTAACAACGTTAAATATCAAATTTAAAAAAAAAATAATGAGAGAAAGCTAAGAAAAAAGGCCAAGTTGCAGAGAAAAAAAAATAAAATGTCATTGAGAAATGAGAGGAGGAGAAAGACAATAACCAAAGACCACCAAATGTTAAAAACGAACCAAGGCAAATTTGGACATCAACAAAATTCTTGAAACTTATCTCCTTAAGCTAGCTATACCACAAGACTCTTACCCTTACCCTCTCGATCCCCCAATGTCCTTTTATAAAATTTTTCTTCCCAACTTGTATATATAGACAAAGTTCTCTTAATTAGCTTTTATAATCCATGGTTGGACAAATATAATTAAATTATTCATTAATCATATAGTTCTTCAATAATTTAACTCCCATTTTTTATCAATATCATCAAAAGCTGCTTGCTTTGTTTGGACAGCATCCAATCATGCTTGTAATAACAAGAGTTAATAGACAAACAATCCTTCAAAATATCCATTGTCTCGTGAATCGTTTTCCTTTTCATAAAGTTAATAGGTCACTATCTAACAGTCCAATTTTTCTTCTTCCCCCACAAATGGCCTGGCATGTGGGTTGGTTTTACACCCATAGTTCGTCACAATCATGGAAAAATTTTATTTTTTTAATATGATGGATGGCCTTTTGATGTGAAGCCATCAATCTTTTTTCTTTCCATTGAATTTGTGCATGAGAAAGTGAGCGATGTTTGTGTTTCTCTTTATGCATAGAATTCACGATTCTGAATAATTTAAATTAGACACAACGGTTATTACCTCTCTTTAAATTAATAATATTCAAATTTTGATTTATTTTTACTGAACTTACTTTCTATAATAGTTTGTATTATAGTTTGCAAACAACAAACAATCATATGAACATTTTCTCAAACGAGTTTAATCTTATAGCTTACTTTATCTAAGTCATATGATTAAATAATGATAACCTAACATTAAAAGGTTAGAACATGAGACTTAACCTTAACCTTAGCATGTGATACGCACATATTCAACAAATTTTAAATTTAAATCTTAATATTTATATAAAAAAAAAAGTCATTATCAATTCATTTAGACGAGGTAAATAAACTTTTTCATGAAACCCATAATTTTTTTTTAATAATTAGTAGTTGCTTTGCTTTATCTTATCAATATCAACACGTTGTTTCCAGTTGCATACTACATGAGAATCTTGAAACCTCAAAAATTGGGTGATTATGAACAAGTGGGGCAAGTTTACATATGCAGGTCACATGATACGCATTTCCAAAATATGCTGTTTTCTTGTTTAATACCATTGGTCTCGTGGCCATTTAGTCCTTAAATTTAATTAGATTAATTCAAGCATCTGATAAAATGTCCTTTTATACCAGTATATTATTTTCAATCCCTCTCAAACCCGGTTCACAAAATCGATCCCTTTTGGCGGGAAGTTAACTGCTTTAATTAGGCAGATTAAACAGGCTTGGTCCGGGCCTTTGTATAATTCTGCTACATTTCAAGGTTGAAATAAGGAAAAATGTTAGTTTTTAACTGTCGAAAAGGGACAACATCAAAATCACCCACCAGCAATGTCTTATTGTAGCAATGTCTTATTGTACTTATTTCCTTTGTTTTTCCTTCACAACATTTTTACACTTGCTTTTCTTCTATAGCTGTCCTTTTGTTATCTTCCAATTTTTGGTTCTTGAAAGAATGTCAGTGAAGCTTTATGGAATCTTCATTGATCTTTGCTTCTTCAAGATCAAGCTTGAATATCTTTCAAGAAATGGCTTCTTCCTCGTCAATAATTGTGATGTTTTTTGACTCTTAATTCCATTAACGAATCTTCAATCCCTGTAATCTCAAGCACCAAAAAAGGAAATGGCTTCTTCTTTACAACAATTGCTTAAAGAAGAAGGATTTGAGAGTGGCAAGTTATTGAAGAATCCTAGAGAATTCAGGCTTAGAAGTAGTGCACCAGATCAGTCCATAGCACTGCCTATATACATCTGCCACGATCGAAAAAGCTTCGAAAAATCGAAGCACAGGGCTGAAAAGACTTTTATCCTGAATGGGTCTTCAGTGTTTTCATCTACAAGGGTGTCGAATTCGGATAGACCAAAATCCAAGTCATTGATAACAGATGGCCCTCCAAGGAGAGACGAGCCTGCAATCAATGAAGTTGCCATTAGAGCTGTAATATCTCTACTTGGTGGCTACACTGGTAAGTATATTCAGGATGAGAGTTTTCGTGAAATGATCAAAGAAAAGTGCAACTCTTGCTTAGTGAGGAGAAAAAATGGTTCGGATAATGTGATTTTTGTGAATTTGGAATTTGGTATTGATAGCATTCACAAGTTAGTTGAAGATGGAGGGAACAAAAAGGAACTTAGAATGAAATCATTGAGGAATTCGATTCGGCTCTTGAGCATTGTTGCTTCCTTGAATTCTAAGAAATCAGGGAATGGTTCAACTTGTGGAGTTCCCAATTCTCATCTCTCAGCATGTGCTCAGCTATACTTATCTATAGTTTACAAGCTCGAGAAGAATCATAGGATATCCGCCTGGCATTTGCTTCAGGTGTTTTGTGATTCAGCCTTTCTAGCGAGAACCCACCTGCTTCCTGATCTGTGGGAGCATTTTTTCCTTCCTCATCTTCTTCACCTTAAGGTTTGGTACCACAAAGAACTTGAACTTCTCTCCAACTTGGATTATGTTGAGAAAGAGAAGAGAATGAAAGCTTTAAGCAAGCTCTACAATGACCAAATGGATATGGGAACAGCTAAGTTCGCTATTTACTATAAACAGTGGCTTAAAATTGGTGCTAAAGCCTTAGCAGTTCCTACAGTGCCTTCACCGTCAAGTCCCAGTTATGGATCATCAAGAAGGAGATCATCTGATTCTCATGCTTCACGTTCTTCTATCAACAAAAGCTTGTAGGTTATTAATTTAGATACTTTTAATCATTTGGTCTAAAGCATTCAAGAATTTGATCATAAATTATGTTGATTTTCTGACTTGTTTCTTAATTGCCTACATGTTCAAAAGGTATCGAGCTGTGTTTGGGGCCACAACTGAGCGGCAATCCATTGAGCTTGATCATCGAATCAGAGCATCGATGGATATATGCCGCCTCGAGGAAGATGAAAAAGAATGTACAGATGAAGAAGAAGAAGACTACAACGGTTGCAATTATGTTCATGTGGGTAATTCTGTCTCTTTCTAAAAACTGCAATTCTTTTATTTTACTGTTAGATCGGAGAGTATCATTTATCATGTTTCTGAATTTGGCAGAACAAGACGAAGACACGTAGAAGGTCATCAAGCCAGATCTACAGAACTCCGAAAACTGAATTATGGCTAGAGACACAGAAATCAGACCATTTTCGGCTGTTTACCTGCCAGAGTGGGCCCACAGACTGCTTGGTAAATGGTAAAAATGTTATCAGAAATAATTCAATGAGAAAGGAGGAAAATGTTCATCTTCCTTTGAGTGAACTAAATAAAGCCATTGCTACTATTTGCTCCTTAGATAGTCTAAGTGAGTGTGAAATTGCAATCCGGGTAATGACCAAAGCTTGGTTGGAATCACATGGTGACCCTGCTATAGAAGCTGCATTGGCAAAGGCTCCTGTTATCGAGGGAATCCTTGAGGTTTTGTTTGCTTCCAGTGATAATGAAATTATAGAATTAGCAATATCAATTTTAGCAGAATTTGCAGCTAGGAATGAGGTGAATGGGCAGATAATACTTAACTCAGATCCACAGCTTGAGATCTTCTTAAAACTCTTAAGAACTAGTAGCCTATTTTTAAAAGCAGCTGTGTTGCTTTACTTGTTAAAGCCAAAGGCAAAACAGATGATATCAACTGAGTGGGTTCCCCTAGTCCTTAGAGTTTTAGAGTTTGGAGAGCAGCTGCAGACTTTATTTACAGTAAGGTGTAGTTCTCAAGTGGCAGGGTTTTACTTCCTAGACCAACTTTTAAGAGGTTTCAATGAAGATAGGAACTTGGAGAATGCAAGTCAAGTGGTTTCTCTTGGGGGACTGAGCCTTCTGATAAGAAATGTTGAGGTAGGTGGTGTTCTTGAGAGGAATAATGCTGCCTTGATCATATCCCGCTGTATTCGAGCTGATGGAAGTTGTCGAAACTACTTAGCTGATAAATTGAACAAGGCATCTCTAATTGAACTTATTGTTGGGAACCGCAAGGATTCTAATAGATCTGTTATTGCCTTACTAACTGAGCTACTCTGCCTAAACAGGTACCAATCCGTTTATAATTTACCATGATTTTCTGATTAGTTCCAGAAATTCAATACACATCCTGATGACCTAGGGAATGTTAACAGAAGAACACAGATAACAAAATTCTTAAATGATCTGCTGAATGGATGGGGAGGCTTGAATACCATGCACATCTTATTAGCATGCCTGCAGAAAGCTCTACCAGAAGAGCGCCCGCTGGTTGCAACCATCTTATTACAGCTTGACCTTTTGGTAATTAATTTCATTGCCATACACAGCATTATATACCTGGACTAATGCATCATGCTAATCAAATACTGAAAGAAATAGTATCCATCCGATTCTTCTTCCATTAACTTTAGTTCATCTTGCACCCAAAAAAAGAATATCAGTTATGCAATATTTTTATTAAAAAATAATGGATTACAGTCATTTTACAGGGAGATCCTTTGAGGTGCAGTGTCTACAGAGAAGAAGCAGTTGAGGTAATTATAGAAGCTTTAGATTGTGAAAAATATAATGAAAAGATTCAAGAACAATCCGCCAGAGCTCTCGTGATGCTGGGAGGCCGCTTTTCTTACATGGGAGAGGCAACAACAGAAAATTGGCTCTTGCAACAAGCAGGCTTTCATGAAAACTTAGGGGACTCATGTCACATGAAGAAAATAGTATATGATATCTTGGTAAGTTTGTGATTATTTTAAACCAGCAATGAATTTCTTGCCTATTCTGAAACTAACCACAATCTCATATTTATAAATTCCTTTGTCCTGCTGAATTACTGATTCAACCTGCAACTAAGCTTTGTTCAATTTAGATTAAACATATTCTTCTATGTCGCCATGTAGGTTTGTTGGACAGCATTAAACTCCAAGTTCCATCCATGTGATATCAATTCTAAATCAAAATGATCAAACTCTAGTCAAATCTTTTGCTATTCCAATTATGTGTAGTAACATGAAAGTTAAATTCTTCAAACATGAACGTAGGCAGGCAAGAGTGTTATATTATGTGATATTTTCTCTCAGTTGTCAATTATAGTTGCCAGATATCAAGCTGCATGTGTAGTTAAAAAGTTGCTATTCTTGTTAAATATATTCTTTCTAATGTTTGTTTCTTTTGTACTACAATCACTAGCCTGAAGAGGAGGAAGCAACAGAAAATTGGCAAAGAAAAGCAGCAATTGCGTTGCTAAATTGTGGTAACAAAAGATTCTTGTCCGCTCTTTCAAAATCTATGGCCAAGGGCATTCCTAGTTTAGCACGAGCAAGCCTCATAACTGTTGCCTGGATAAGCAGTTTTCTCCATTCCGTTAGAAATAAGGATTTGCAGTCCATGGCATGCTCAATACTTGTTCCGCAGTTGCTAGAATCCTCAAACTCCAACCAAGCACTCCAGGAAAGGGTTCTTGCTTCTTTGTCATTGCAGCGGCTCATAAAAAATTCAGGTATGGTAAACTTTAGACAATTTCAAAGTTAGCCATCGGCATTTATTCATTTCTTATGTGCTAGAAGCATTTAAGTGTCTTTCTTATCTCTTGTCATGCTCTATGAATTTTCACAAATTCATCCGACAAGGTGCAGTCACTAACTGCTTCAATAACTTGAGAATTGGAATGTCATAAGTAGATATAAATTCCAATGAAGATCACTATGGCAAACTTCTGGGGAATGATACGCTTGCAGAAGTTGGAATTTCAATCGTTTTACTATCTGTTGAATTTTTAGTATTGCTATATTTTGCTCCCTTCTTAACAGTTCAACCTGTTCATCTTCATAGAATATGCCTCTATTGTTTCTTCGACGGATGAAAGGTTGATAAATCCTCTTCCCAATCATTAACCACAAGGATAGCTATAATGAGCTTATTCAACCATCCCAAACACTGTGAGGCAACGGTAGCCTGAGCTAGAAGCTTAGAAGATCTGGCCAGTTAAAGAAATGCAAGAAGTCATCTGAAGTCTTGATTCTGAAGGGTGACTATCAGAGGGTTTGATTTTCTCCCCGACCCAATTCATTAGAGAGGATGATAAGTTGTTGTTCTTTCAAATTCCTTTTCATCTTTTGAGAGTGTATGTAAATGCTGTAACACATAGCACATTTGATACCTAACATATAGTGATTTAGAGAGATGTGATATCTAATCAACATGGATGATTACCCCAAATAAATAATGGAATGCAAAATCTGTTTTCTTCATGAGAAGGCATGACCTATATATATGATGCAGATTTTTCAAAAACCATGGAGTAGGGCTGTGATAAGAAATGGAGATTATGAAAAAATTGAACCAGACCTTAGTGTTGGTTTGGTTTTTTTTTCAGTTGTATTTCTTAGATTTTAATTCAACAATGATAAAAACCATTTGCTTGCCTTACTTCTGATTAAAGATCTGAATTAATCCAATCAAAATTGAAATCATTACTAATTTAAATGCTAGTAATTGTTTTTCACCAAATTTAAACCCCAAATCAGAATACATCCCTACAATGGAGTCCCCCTTTCTTTATTTCATTCAACAGATGAATCATATGATGCACTAAGAAATATCAGAACTAGCTGGCCAGAAATAGACCGGTATGACCACAATTGTAAATAAAAATTTGAGTCTGCATTAGGCTGGTTTTTATCTCCAATTACTCTTCTGTTGTCACCGCCCTATGTCCATGGAATGTCACAGTTTTGTCTGATTGGCTATAATGACTAGAGATTCCACCGTCCAGCTGTTTTATCTCAAAATATTTTTATCCCAAATTCTGCAAAAATCTCTTCCTCATTCATGGCACATGGCCACCAGGCAGTGGATGTTAGAATTCAATTGATATCACAAAAATCCAACAAAATGAGTTTGTAGTGGTGTCCTTTAGTGGAAAACAATGGGCAGGTCTTTCCAGCGAATAATACAATGGCAGCAGCAACAATTAAAGAAAACCTGTCTCATCCAATTTCTAGTTCTGAATAACCTTACTCATGTTTTCAGCAAACCTGTCTGTCGAATTGGCCCAGCCTCACATGCCTGATTCCAACTAAACAGTCGCAAAAGCTTTTCTGTATCAAAATTTTGAACATCAGAATAATGTCTGACCCAAACTCAAAGGCATCCATGTAATGGACCCCAGCTGAAATAGTTCCAGCAAGAAATTTCTTGATGTTTTATAGAAGTGTTGCATTTTGTTACTCTTGAATTGTGCTGGTTAGCTAATACCTGGAGACCTCCTCAGCAATGGTGGGCACCCAAAGGTTAAAATATTCTGTAGTTAGTTTGAAGGAAAAGAAACAGATGGAATTCAATGATGTCTCATACAAAGAAATCATAATCAAGGGCATGGTTTGGCATCAAAAGCACACAGGGTTGGCATTGGAGCTCAAGCTTCAAAAATTTTTGGCAGCCAAACATAAAGAATAGATGAGTACTCAAAACCTTAATTCGATGTCTCTCTAAAACCCCTTTTTTCTTTTATTTTTTTCTTCTTCAACCATTTATTCTTCTTTTCTCTCTAAGCCATGACTGAGGTTTAAGGACCGATTTGAGTTGGTTTGGGTTATTTCCATTAATCACTTTAATTTGGCTTGGTTCTGTTAGTTATTTCAAGTAAAGTCTGTTAATTCGATTTTCAAATTTCTAAAATGGAACCGACCGAAAGCTTACCTTACTTCTAGCATACTTAACTGGAGGTGCACTTAAACGAACAGATAACATAGAAATTGCACGAAGAAAAGGATCTTATAAAATTTTCTCAATGGATATTAGACTCATTTGATTTCCATTGGCTTGTAATTTTTCCAATACCCAAATTTGAAGTTGGAAAAAGAAAAGCTCGATATAGCTCAAGAATAAATGAATTTTCTGCCAAAACTGAGAAACATATTTTCTGGTTCAGGCAAAAATGCCAGCACCATATGAAGATTGGATCATATCAACAAGGAGTGGGAACTGTAAGAAGGCAAATAAGGTAACAGGAATACACGCAATCAAGGCTGCTGGCACAGCAATCCATGCCAGTCTTTGGCTAAGGACAATGCAAAAGGTTGCACCAAATGCTACAAGCATTGCTGCTATGGAGAAAAAAAGGGTAGCAAGACCAACAATCAGTCTCTGTGGGAGCAACCTGAGGAAATCTTCTTCTGCGTAACGCGAAGTGAGGATGGATAAGAACATTAAGATAGAGGTGACTGAAGAGAACAATGCAAATGCGTCTGATACAGCAAAAATTATGAAAGATTTAGCTTCCAAAAATATGGGAGTGCCTTTGGCATTGTCATTGCCTCCGGGTACAGTAAAGATAGCTGCAAACATTACAGTTGTGATTAGTGTAGCAACAAGCATGCATGATGAAGCAGTGCTCTTCATCCACTTCTCTCCATCCTTGACCAATTTTGCGTGCTCTTCTGCGAATAACATTCGAGGTGTTGTACCTTTAATGTCTCTCATTTCCTTGTATAATGGTTGTACATTCTTCTCTACTTCCTGCAATGTCAAAAACAACTTAAATTACAAATTCTTAATCGAAAACTGCATGTATAGATGGAGTTAATTATACCTTAAACCACAGTAGTTCTCTTTGCATTTGAAGAGCTGCACCAGATACGATATTAAGTCTATTTGGAGGTGCTATCTTTCCAGCCAAATGCAGTATGCAGTGATTGTTTTTGTCTTTGTAAGCAGCAATCATGTCCTTATGTGCTCCTATATCATGGATTAGTCTAAAAATCTTTTCTTGGCGATGAAGGACTGCCATATGAAAAATACTACGGCTATGCTCATCAACTCTCCATATCAGATCAGGATAAGACTGAATAAGTTCAGTTATGAGGTCAACAACACCAAATTCTGCAGCAACAAACAGTACATGTGAAGGGCTTCTTAGAATATCCGTAATTTGTGAGTCTTCTAATGACAAAATTTGTTCACATAACAGCTTCACAAGCACAATAGCTTGCATATGCAGTAACTTTTTCTTGTAAACGGCTTTATTTCCTGGGACTAAAGTTAAACACAGGTTAGATATCGGATTTTTAACTATGCCAGCAAAAATATCACTATATTTGAAGTCCGACACCTACTTGCTTTCTCTATTGCATGCCAAAACTTTCCAGCTAAGCCGATAAACACTGCAGACATTCCAAAAAAACTTGTTCGTTAATCTTGAAGTTTGATCAACCTGGAATAACATAAAACTTGATCATTTGTATATGCAATTCATGATTTCACATTTAAATAGGAAAAAAACAGAAATTGGACTTATTACTCCCAGAAAAACCAAGCCTCTATGAGGTAAAATGAGAGAAAAACCTTGGTTTTTATCACAGTAGCAGCATTTGGACATGCCTGACGGGCAACTAGATTTAACTAGTGGTTCCACATAGATCCCTGCAAGATCATATAAGTATTCATTAATAGGATTACAAGAGAAATTCCAATGTACTTTTTCCATAAACATATAAATTTCCTAAATAAAGCCTCATTCCTCGGCCTAGGATTGCTTTTTTTTTGGTTTATAGGACCGATAAATCATTAACTTGTCCATCAGCTGTCTTTGACATTTACCACTAGTACAGTAGGTTAACTAGTTTGAATTGAGTTAATTTGTTCCCCTGTTCTATATTTATCTCCAGCTACAAGTGCTTCAGCATGATATTGATTGGGAAAGGCAAAGAAAGGAGTATTACTTTTCCCATTGTCATTGTTGAACCACTATTTTCGGTGATGGTATGCTCTATTTGTTTTCTGTTTCTCAATGGACTTAACTCAAATTTCCTTGAAAGGAAAAAGATCTAGACTTCTATTATATGATCTCTATATCTAATGTAAGAATTGCAGGGAAAGTTCACAATGTTGCAAATATTGTTCAACACATAGGTTACAAGAATATACACACAAAAGAGTACAATATGAGAACTATTAAAAATCACAAGATATAACAATTTGAATCATTTGATTGAATTTCCAGGGCTTCCAAAGTCAATCTAATTAAAAGAATATTAAAACAGAATTAGAACACTCACATGGGTAGATAAACTTTTCCCAGGCTCCCATCTCATGTTTGCTGACAAACGCTGAAGGCTTTCGAGCTAAAACATGAAGTGCTGTCTCCCCATTTGAATCACGCAGAATAGCCAATTCTGGTTGGTGCTGAATTAAGCAGAGAGCTACATCTAAGCAGAAAAGGAGAACAGTTTTGTTAAGGTTCTTCCTATAGGCAGTTCTCTATAACGACTATGGAGTATGGACCAAATGGCACTAAAGATAGATTACTAGATGCAAAGAGGTTTGAAGACTTGAGCCATAGATAGTACGATGAAGTCATGAACTTCTTAATTGATTCGAGTAAAAAGTTTTACCAGATTATAGAAAGCAATATGGAAACATCTAATATAACTCACTTCACAGTTCATGCTTCATACCAAATAAATCAGTAGTGATGGTGGCAATAAGCAACCCAATGTAATCCTCTCGAGTTAGATCCTCAGCAGCAGTCACCTTGTAGAGATACCAAACCATGTCTCTGTGGCCAAACAGTGCAGCAATGTAGAGCGGTGTCACTCCCTTGTTCCCCCTTATCCCTGGCAAATACTTGTTCTTTTTCACCATCACCTCGGCAATCCTAGTAATACCTGAAGCTGCTGCAATACAAAGCGCTGTGTTACAGTACTTGTTCCTTCGTTCTAAATCTGCTACACTCATCAATTTGACCAGCTCCTCGACAAAACCAATGTGTCTGGCCCCTACAGCAATGTGAAGAGCTGTTTCCCATCCCTTTGTTATCCTGACATTTGCAGCACCAGGATGCATGTTTAGGAACTCTTTAGCTTTTTCCCAATCACCTTTCAGCGCAGATTGATATAAAGGTGCATACAAGGTAAGCCTTCTAGAAGTCCAATTATTCCCTGCCATTAAATTGATTTCACATCAGAATTCAACAAATGAGCTCCAATTCTCATTTAAACTCTTGTTAATTGGACCCAAAAACAAAAAACAAAAAAAAAGAAAAGAAAATGAATGCTGTTACTTACCATCTATAGGAACTGAACTTGGTAATGTAGAGGCTGGTGGAGTTGCAAGAGAAGGCTTAGATAGAAATTTGTCAACCACTTGAACAGGTGTTGCAGCACTAGCGTCCTTCTTGTTATGTTGGTGATTAGCAGCATTAGTCTGGTGTGATTCCAGTCGAGCAGGTGCAGAATTTGGGAGTGGGAGTTTAAAGGCATTATTATTGACAAGGTCAGCAACTGAGGTTTGCGTCGGAGCATGTGTCGAAGGCTTGTGGGGAGGCACGTCTAGACTGGCAAAGCGGCTGGCTCCGCTGGAATTAGGCTGGCTCTCAATAGGAGTTGCAGTTGCAGACGATGCAGCGTAGCTTCTCCTTGAGTTTTGTCCGCTATCATCAAAGTTTGAATCAGAGAATCTTTCGGGAAAACATGCCCTGATAGACGGATTCCTACCCAACATGTTTAAACTTAATTTCTTCCTATAGCTCTAGATCAGTTTGTGGTGTCAACGACCAGAGTACATTTATAATGCAAGCCAAGGACATAAGTCAAAACAGAAACAAAAGTATAAAACACACATCCACTATAAAAAAAAAAAAAAATGAAAAGTCAATTGATGGAAAATGGGAAAAGGGCACTTTCCAAAAGTTTTCTTAGAACCGACTTCTAAAAACGAGGAAATTCGAAAGACCCAATCCTCAGTGTTAGGAAGTTTACCAGCGTTTAGGACTTCTAATTTGCTACTTCGTAACATGTTCCTAAATTATTTCTGAGTTTTTCATACGCGTTTTTATGTCAATTTAATCATTTTAAATACAATAAAGTGATGTCATATAAAAATAATATAAAAATAACATAATTTAAATTTTAAAAAATTAAATATATTGATAATAAATTTTAATAAAATTATTTATAAATTTAACAAAAATAAAAAAAAAAGCTTCAAATTTGACACGTTAATACTAATTATAATAATTTTTATTATATATATATATAATAAAATAAATAAATAAACATGCAAGCACAACAAATTGTGGATATCATAGACAGGAGCTAACATAGACGCGTTAACCACTTGACTTGGAGATTAGCTTTTGTTCTTATCAGGAGAGGAAGGTACCAGGATAAAACGAATTGGGTTGAAAATGGAACTTTCTCTTTTGTTTTTTTTTTTTGTTTTTAATGCTCGGTAAAGGATGGAATAATGTTTGACAGACCATTGTTTTCGACCTACTACACTAACTATGCGTTGTTCATTTTGGTTAAAATGTTTTTCTTAATTTCTTCTAAAAATATTGGTTGAACAATGATTTTTCCTGAATATTATATAGTAAAATATAACCTTATTTAAATTAAATATCTTATTATAATTATATTCATTTTATATATTTATTTCAATAATATACAATAAAAATTTTTAAATCGAATCAAATCGGACAAAATCATATAAATACTTTTAAATATGAAACCCAATCAAGTTAAACCTGCAAACTTCACAAGTCAATTAATCTGTGGACAAATTTAACGGTAGCTTTCAATGTCAAAGACGGATAGGCTCAAAGGGGGAGCTAACCTTTGGGAAAAGGAATCCCTTACCCACCATGAATTGATTGCAATAATCTCAACATTGATTGGTAAGCTTGATAGGCTCTGAGGCCCATTCCTCACTTTGAACAAAGAATTAATGGAACACTTGATCTTGCAGTACACAAAGGAAGAATCTGCCTACATTTCCGTTGGATGAAAATGCATGTTGCAGAAGCCTGTATCTCTGCATTAAACCTTATGGTATGCCATTTGTATAGTCACCTGGCGGTCCAGATCAATTTACATTCACTTTTCCAAGAAACAAGATGTATTAAAAGATGGTTAGCTTCATCCAAGAACGTTCGAATGCTCTTATCTGTAAGTTGTCAGCAAACAACATTTATGTTATTACAACCTGTTAGAGCTATAGTTGATTATTGAAAATAAACACAGCAGTAGCTTGTCTTGAGGCTAATTATTTCAATAATGGTGCAAATGATAGTAATATACTTTTCATGCTCAAATATATAAAATCATAAGTCTTTTACTTTTTTATTTAGTGATTAAGAAATTAAAAAAAATGTGAATATGAATTTTAATTCCGTCATTTTTTTTCTTTATAAGAGTTTTGTCTTTTTATGAAAAAAAAAAGATAAAATCAAAAAATTTGCTCAAGTTTTTAATCAAATCTTTAGGAAGATAGAAGATGAATGGTGCTTACTAGATTTTTTTTTGAGTGCCAGAATAGGAATAATTTTTACTCCATAAAATGTTCAAAAACTAATCTATGACTATGGGACCAATTGACTAGCACGATTTTTGAGCCAGGTGGCTAATCTTTGACAGAGGAACAGAGCCTAGGTTCTTTTGCCGAGAAGAAAAAGGAAAATTGAAAAGGGCCATGAGTTCAAAATTCAGAGGGATGGAATCATGGAAGATACCCAAGCAAATGGGGACCCCTAGCCTCCAACGTCCAATTTTAAGGGCATATAATTAGGCCCAGCCCTAGAAATGTGAGCCAGGCTTTTAGCTTTTAGGACATGCCCCTGCCCTGCCTAACACAAAGACCTAAGACATAACCTAACCAAACCACATGCAACCGGCGGGGTGAGAATCCGCTGTGTCAGTTTTGATCTGTAAAATACCTTACGAGTGTGTGCTTATTGACAACTTCCCAAAATGGACAACAGCCACACATGGGACACCCATCGTTTTCAACTTAAAAATTTCTGCGTGCTTTTTAATGCGAGTAAAGAGTAAATAAACGTCCTTTTTCGTATAAGTATATAAATGATATATTAGTATTAATAAATTATTCAGATTCGATTCCAAAAAAAATTTGAATTTAATTTGATTATTATCGAGTCGAACTCGAATTCGAGTAATTCGATTTATCGATCGAATCAAATTTAAGTATTCTTATATCTGATTCGAGTAGCTCGCGAGTCTAATCGAACTTTTATATTTAAATATATTTTTATTATTTTAATTAATAAAATATTTCGAGTCCGAGTTCGAATTTGAATTCGAGCATAAATAATCAAACTTTTATCGAGTATATGAATCAAGTTTATTTTTACATATTAATCGAGCTTAATCAGCGAGTTCGAGTAACTCGAATTCGATTACGAATCGAACTCGAACTTAAAAAATAAAACTCAATCGAATTCGAATCAAATATCGAATCCCGAATTATGAGTCGAACTCAAACTCAAACTTTTTACTATTCGACTCAACTCGACTCGTTTACACCCCTAATTTCATATCCGTCCTTATTTAAGGCCCTCCTCTTCCCTCTGCCGATCGTCCATTAGTGATTGTCATTGAAGTAAAAAATAGACCCAAGCCAAGGCATCTTCTCTTCTATTACCCTATAAAAAGAAAAATGTTGTACTCCCTTAAATGTATTTCTATTTTTCCATACCTTTGACATAATTTTAAAAATTTTAATTTTTATTTTATTTAAAGTTATCATAATTTATGTTTGAATCATTAAAATTAATAATCTATTTTTTTTTATAAATGAGTTAAAATATCAAATTTTTAATGACATAAATGTATCTATCACAACGATTAATGATTAATATAAAACTTTTAAATCATTTAAATCAAAATTAAAATGGTTAAAATTATGAAACCTATAAATTTCAGTAACATGTAAAGACATTAAGTTTTACGTTGTCAATAATGAACATATTAAAAAGTTCCTAACTGCCTACTTCCTACTTATACTTGACATTATTATCACAATTCAAAATGCTATTCGATCTTTATTTATTTGAATTGTGTTGTTGAAAATCATTTTTCTTCATTCTGAATTTTGTTTGAGAATCTTTATATAGACGTTAATTATTTTTTAAATAAGTTGATATCTGAATTAATATTTAAAAATTATAAATTTTTAAAAAATTTATGCACATAATAATTTTTTCAATCAAGTGAGATGTTTTAAAAGTATATTAAGAATTTCAAAAAAAAAATCTTTATATTGATAATAGTAGTATATAGGTAATTACATTTTTGGTATTAAATTTTGAAAAAGTGTATAGTTTAGTAGTTGAAGATAAAAATGTATAATTTATATTTTAAATTTTTAAATAGTATATTATTTTTATTTTTATTTAATATTATAAATTTAATTACGTTTATATAATATTTAATCAATATAACATATCATTTGTTAATTGAAAATATTAAATATTTTATAAAAATTTCATTTAAATATCATATGAATATCAGTTGTAAATAAATAATTGATTAATTTTAGACAAAATTTTTATTGTTCAAGTAAAAAAATTTTAAAATAATGAAATTCCAAAATTAACGTGATCAGTTTAAAGAATTATTTTTTTTGTCTATTTTTTTGTTTTTTTTAGAATATCTCAAAATTTATTTTTTTAATATCTAAAATTCTTATTTTTTTATATTTTAAAATTATTGTATATGATTTTTTATTTTTTGTTATTAAAAGTTATAAAACTTTAATATTAAATACATTAAAATTATTTTTTTAATTTTAAAAAATTAATACATAATAAATATTTTGAGACGAAGAAATAACATTCAAATTCAACTTTGTATTGTTTGCCTAATTGAAGACAAACACCTGAAAGAAAAATACACTGGTTGTGGTACTTCATAACAGGAATAAAAAAAAAATTCATTCAAAATCACAATATCCAATTTAGTTCGGATTGTTTTTCTTTATTTGATTCGGATTAAATTTAGATATTAAATATATATATATATTATATTTAAATCAAAAAATAAAAAAAATTAAATCGAATAATATATATTTTAAATTTTTATAAAATAAAATAAATAATTTTATATTAAAAAATATATAAAAATTATAAATTAATAAATTGAATCGAATTAAATTAATAAAATTTGATTTAATTTAATTTAAATCGAATAAAAACTCTACTCGAATTCGAATCAAATTTTAAATTTTTATAATATTATGTAATATTATAAAATTTTAAATCAAATGTAATTCACATCAAACAGTTATCACCCAAAATTTATAGTATTATACAAATGGAAACCAACTTACAGTAATATAAAAATTGAATAAGAAACTAACTGGCTCAGTTCCCAACATTTAAACTTCTGATCAAACTAAACCAAGTTGCAGTTAATAACAGGTTAGCATCAAATAAACACAAAATTTTATCCCTTATCTTCAAGTTTTTTACGACCATGCCCCATTCTAAAAAGGAAGGAATGAGCAGAAAATATTGCTCATAAGGAAAGGGTAGTGTTGGCAATCTATAAAAGTTTTTTTAACTTTTAACCAGTCCAATTTCGAATTCAGAACTTACGAGGAATGTACATAAACACCTTCCCCCGCGTTCCAACTGTCAATCAGTTAGCACTCGACAGGGTTTGACTTGTTATGATTTGAAAAAATGGGTATTTTAGAAGATATAAAGGAAAAAATGGTAAATTTTCCTTTTTTTTTTTTTATTCATATCTGCTACACATGGGGCAGATGTATATTCATAGGATAAAAGAAAAACAAATAATTAAGTAGGGAAGGTAATTTAATCTCAATTTGACGGATTTTAATTTGATTTGATTTTTTAGAGAGGTTTTTTTATTAAATTGAGTATCGAGTGAGTTAGATAATATAAAAAAAATCAAGATCAAATCAAAATTAAAATTTAGGTAAATTTGACCTTATCTTATTTGATATATATATATTTATTTTTTAATTATTTAATTTTATATTTATATTAAAAATAATATTTTATATTTTAAAAATAATATTTTATTAATTTTATATCAGATCAAGTCGAATTGAGTTTGTGTTTGAATGTAAAAATAAAAAAATCATCTAATCGAGTCAAATTCGATTTTTATATATATAATTAGATTGGATTCGGAGCGAGCAAAAATTTATCTTGACCCGACCCATTATTATTACTAGAATTAAGGCTTTTTTTATTTCACAAAAACTTAAATTTTAAAAAATATTTTTTGAAAAATATTTATATTTTGAAAAAAATAAAAAATATATTATTTAGATGAATTAATAAAAAATATTTTTTGTTATTTGATTGTTTTTTGAAAATTTTATTTTTTAAAAATAATATTATATAATTATTAAAATATTAAAAATTATTTATTATTAAAATATATTAAAATTATTTATTATTAAAATTATTAATATTAAAAAATAATTATATTTTAATAACATTTAATATTAAAATATTGTATTACTATAAAAAAATACTTAAAATAAAACTATTTATTATTTTTTATATTAATAATTTAAAATATTTAAAATAATATCACTATTCTTAAAATATTAAATAAATATAAATATAAATATAATTATAAATATTTATTATTAAAATATTTATACTATTAAATAATTATATTTTATGTTGAAAGCATATATTATTAATCATAATAAAAATATTTTTTATTTATATTTATTATTAAAATAGTAATATAAATAATACCTTTATAAATAAAATATAAAATTATATATTTTAAACAAAAATAATAAAAATATTAAAATATTCATATTAATAATATTATTATTATATTATTTAACATTAATTATTAAAATAATAAAAATATTATTATATATGTTATTATTTATTATTAAAAAAATAATATAATAGTAATTATTATTGAAATATTAAAATTATTTATCTTAAATAATATACAAAATAAAATATGTAAAATTAAAATATCAAAAGATATTTAACGTTAATTTTTAATTTTTTAATTAAAATTAAATAAAATATAATTTTTATAATAAAAATTTAAATCAAATCAAATTTAATTTAAAATATTTTATTTAAAGTCTTAATTAAATATAATTAAAAATATTTAAAATTAAAATATTAAGAGCATTTAATATTAATTTTTTAATTTTTTAAATAAAAATATTATTTATTAATATAATAATATTTTGATAAGGTGAACTTAAATTTAAATTTAAAAAAATTATATACAGAATTCAATTTAAATAAAATTATATTCAAAATATTGATAACTAATTTTATTGATAGATAATTTTTTTTCAAAAATTATTTTCCTCTTAAAAAAAGATAATTTTTAAAAAGGTTATTTTAATTTCTGTTCATCGTAAGTTTTTTTTTTTTATCAATCAATTTTTTAAAAATAAAAAATAAAAATATAGAAATAATTTTTAAAAATTATTTATTATTAAAAAACGGAGTAAATATTGTTTGTTGTTCTCTTTTGGCTTTTACGTGATGAGACAGCTAAAGTGCATTTATCAAAACAATCATTTCCCTAGCCTGCAAAAAACTGATCTGTTCTGACTCCTTTGCACTTGCTTCTTCTTTTAGTCTTTTTGTTGGGCGTTTGCTATTTTCTCACAATCATCACCCTAGATTCCCATCCTATTTTTCTAACATTTATTATTGTCCTCAATGCATTTCTTTTCTGGGTGTTTTTTGAACATAGTCAATACTTTTTTTTTTATTGAAAATCTTTTAAGAATAAGTACATTTTTTTAATCATCTGTTGATGTTGTCATCGACGTTTTCATGTTTGTCATGATGGCGATGTGTTGGCTTGCATTTGGTTCGATGGAATTCTGACTTTTCTACATTCTTTCATGATCATTTTCTTTTCTTTTGTTCTCTATTGTTTTAAATTTTGTGTCTTTTTCCATCCTGGGTCTTTCTCAGAATTCAGGTTTATTTGGTCACTGTAAGGATTCCTTGTGGCAGGCAAATGCAGATTTCAAAGCAAGGTAAGGCCTTTAGCCAATTTCATCATCTCTATGTCTCCCTCAACATTACTTTGGTTTTTGCATCACGTGTATTTTCTTTGGATTATCTTTTGGTTTCTTTTGTTAAATTTGTTAAGCAGATAAACAGATAAGCTTCACTGGTTTTTTTTTTTTAAACTTTTTTGAACCCTTATTGTATGATATCTTGTAGGCTTCCTCTTCGTTTGCATTTCGCATCCAAGTTTCTTCTTCTTCCTTAAACGGACTGACGATTATTTCTTTTCTGAATTCTCCAGATTCTGATACCAAAGCGACATTTTTGGTGTCTTCTCAGCTCTAGATACCTGTAGTTTCCTAGGTTATAGTGATTTTAGGACTTGGTGTATGCCAATCTGTTGTTAATTTCTGCAATGGTCTCTTTTCAATGAGGCTGGTTGTGAGAAAGCTGCAAGTTTGTGACTTTCAAATGGACTTGTCCTCTAAATGTAAGCTTTCAAGGTTATTCGGCTGCTATTTGACTTCTGTAACATGCAAATGTCTTGCTTTGGTCACTATTACTCTGTTTCTCAGAGCTATCTTGCTCCATTTATTCTCTGGCTATGGCGTGATTGAATGGAACAACCCGGACTTGATTCTAAGCCCCTCTTTATTGTTGAACTCTGAAGACGGGATTCGTAGAGAAAAGTTTTTGGAGGTTCCTCAAATTGTGTGGGGACTAAATAATCAGAAGATAGCATTTGCAAGAGCTTGTCTAACTGCTAGAATGCTGAACCGAACTCTTTTGATGCCTAGCTTAAGTGCTTCACTTTTCTACAAGGAAATTGACCGCTTGCAGCCTATTTCCTTTGATAAAGTCTTCCAATTTGAAAGGTTTAATTCTCTCTGTAATGGGTTTGTGCTGTTGGGTCGTTACTCGGATCTTAAGAATCAAACTGGAATGTATGATCTCCAAAAGGGAAGTGGAAGAAAGTGGACAGTTGAGAGAGACCTTGAGCAGTTGAAGCAAAGCAGCAAAGGTTTTGTTGATGAGTATGAAGTGATCAGAATTGTTGGAAAGAATCCGTTTCTTTGGCATGATCATTGGCCTGTTAAGGACTATGCAAGGGTCTTTGAGTGCTTGGTTTTGGTTCATGAGATAGCAAAAGAAGCAGATAAAGTTGTGTCCAAGATCAGGCAGATGGGAAGAACGGTTAGGAGCAAAACTGAGACAGCACAAAACAATTTTGATGCAGAGGGTTCTTCACTGCCACCGGCTCCATACATAGCAGTCCATATGAGGGTAGAAATAGACTGGATGATTCACTGTAAGAAGTTGGAGCAAAGATCAGGCATAAGCCAAATTTGTAGTAGCAAGCAAGAAATTATGGAAAGAGTGGGGAACATTGTCAGCTTGGAATCCCCCACTGTTGTTTATCTTGCTGTTGCCGATAGTCTCCTCAATGATTCTTCAATATTGGGTGGTTGGAAGAAAGGATCGCTTCCTTTTGAAAAGAAGAAATTAGGGGTTGATGGAATTTACAATAAGCATCCATATCTCATTCAGTCAGCAATTGACTATGAGGTGTGCTCAAGGGCTGATATATTTGTAGGCAACAGTTTTTCCACTTTTTCTAGCCTCATAGTTCTTGAGAGAACACAAAAGATGATCAGAATGGGCATCACAAGCTCATGTGACATCAATGTCAGGTGGCCGTCTTATGCATATAATATACCGGGGGAATCGAATCGGCCTCAGAAATGGATGACTAAAATGTCTGATTCAAGTCTCAAAGCAATTAGTTATGGTTCTAATTCAATCTCATGTTGAAGTTTGTGCATCCCCAGTAGCTGCTGGTAATATCACTGCATGTTCAGCATTTTTTAACCCAATTCATAGTGCTGATTGAATGGTTTAAGGGATACATATAGTGTATAGAAAAGCAATAGGAGAGAATATCAAGATACAGTTGAATACTGAAATACGCACGGTTCATTTTATAATTTTGGTGTTTTGCTCACTTTTTTTTTTCTACATAAGACTGGTCGCAGTTTTGGAATAGAAAAAGGCTTGCAAGATAGCATGTATTAGAATTAAAATTTCAAATGTGATATTATTTTTTAAAGGTGATTGCATAAGCATATTCTTAAGCATAATTTTGTTTATTTTTTTATTAATATCCTCGCAAAAGTTTAATTGGATACTTGTTCTTGGTTTCTATCGACAAATGAAAAGATAGTCTTGCATGTGGTTCTGCTTTGCCTCTCTCAAGTTATTGCTCGAACAACCACGGGAGGCTATGAAATGTTCATTATTACCAATTAAGAATCTACAATATGCAGAATATATGGAATAGACGACACAACCTGTAAAATTCGGATTTGGTTCTCTTCATCTATATCCAGATAGTAATGGGTCTCGCTTGGAATGATTGATGCTGTCTGTCAATGTTACTGGTCCAGTTCACCAATCACGGTTCAAATCAAAGAGAGATCCTGATCTCACTCCATATTCCAAGCCATCGTTGTTCGAGCTCATATGCATACAACCTAGTCAACCGGCTGTTGAACCGTTTAAACAGAACACTGACTCATGAAATATGCCATTGTTAAATTTGTTAACGTATGCCTATGACCAGTTACTTTGTTTGCTAAATAAGACCAGCAGGACCACACAATTGAGCTGTTATTAATAACCCTATGGACAGGTAGTTTGGCTTAAATGACTTGTGCCAGCGGGGATAATGGATCGGGCGGCCGCCGCTAGGGATGTTGGAACTTTAAAGTTCAACCACATCCTTGGCTATTGGTCGGAGAGAGAGAGAGAGAGTATGTCAAAATGAAAAGATTTGTTTCATTAACTTTCTTTCAATTTGATGACATCAATAAGACGTTTGCCCTATTATCCTTCTTTTTCTTTCTAGAAGAAAGCAACTATCAAGCATAGAATCTTCCCCCTAATCTTAAGCAAAGACCTCTAGGGTATTTTATATTCCAGCATGTAGTTAATGACTAACAAGAACTAAATAGGGGGAGTAGTGCCGAACTAAAGAAATTCGTGTAAATGAAAATGCAGCCAATAGAGTGAGAAACTCTTTGCCTCTCTTGTAAACCTTGTTGGACTGATAAGCAACTTATTACCTAACATTGGAATGATCTACACTAGCTTCATTGCATATAGTCTTCGTAGTAGTTGTCACTTATTACAGAGACAAATCTCTCGAGCCAAGGAAGCTGATGAAGGTCCTTCATTGCATCTACATAGGAATCTGTACAGCGAGGTGGGGATTGATATGGATGATGGTCACTCAGACCGAAACCCCCAGCAAGAAACCTTTGGATTAGTGCCAGCTGTGATCTTTCTTGGTCTGAGTATGCATCCATGATCAAAGGGAGTGAATCGAATGTCTCCCATGCCCATTGTTCTGATTCTTGAATAGAATGGGTGACCAAGTCTTCAGAGTTGTCTTCATCCCAGAAGGCACATTGACAGGTCTGTCGACCATACCTGTACTCAGCACCACAAGAATAACAGAACTCATGCCCGCACCTGAAAAGGAAATGGAAGCAAATTTGGTGTCGACCATATAACAAATGAAGTCGTATATGACTTAATTGCCCATGTGTGTACAAAACATACAGATACACATCTTCACATGTGGACAAACAAGAGCTGGACACAAGCATATAGAATTGCATGATCAAAGGATGATCAACTTCATTAACCAAGTGGATAAATCAGGGATGACTTGGTTAAAGCATGGGGCAACGAAGAAAGTCCAAACATCAAGAGACCTCAGCATATAAGGTCTCTCTCGCCCACTCACTCAAGTCAGAGTTACAACTAAGTTACCATTCAAAAAAAGTGTAATCATATGGGTGATTATATGATTAGATTGTCGCACAAAACAAAAACTTTAATTCAAAGATTGTACAAACTGGATGGCTAAGCAAAGCACTGTTACAAGAAGATGGATCTTACCAGCATGTCATGTGATAGCAACCTTGAGTAAGTTCAATCATCCTACGGCACTGCTGGCAACGCTTCCACCTGTTGTTTTGTGCCAAGCGATGCAAGGTAATGTCTGCAGCATCTCTTTCCTCAAGAGGGAGGTTCTGATACTCTTCACAACTCATTGATGAATGCCATGGAACTCCGCATTCCACACATATAAACCTTTGACAAACTGGGCACTCAACACAGCTATTATCTGATTGACTAGATGAACTTGCCCTAGTTGACAAGCATTCGCGAGGATCAATCAAGACAGAACAATTTGGATAAGGACAGTATATTCCATCTGAATGAAGAACATTTGCTTCTGCTTGGGCTCTTTCCAGAGACTCATAGGAAGCCAGTGGAAGAAAAGATCTACACTCAGCAGTGGAGATGTAATATTTGCATCTTAACTGAGGGCACCTGATTGGGACGTGGGACGACTGCAATTTACCATCTACATAGGTTCTCATACAATGGGAACAGAATTTATGGGAACACTTCATGGTGATCATCATCAATGATGGCTTGTCCTCACAGCAGATGGAACAAATTTCAAGTGATTTATCTCCCTTGGCAGGAGAAGAAACAACTCCTATTGCTACTTGGGCTAGCTGCAATGGCCCCAAAAGATTAGTGCTAGGAACAAGGTTCAGAACAAACCCCTCAAAATTACGGGTATGTTCTAGGATTCTTTCCCTTAAGGCCATCAAAAGTGGATTATCAAGTTTCTCCTCACATGTAATCTGCCAGAAATTCATGTCAGTAAAGCATAGGTCAAAGCATAACTTCAAAGCTATTTGCGCTAATAGAGAGGATAAACTTTTAGATATATTGTCTATAAAAACTATCATTATTTGTATTTTCCTGTGATTCATCATAAGCAAATAGTTGTTCTTTTTCCCCAAACGATCATCATTACGCCATATAAATGATTGGACACACAGTCCGCATTGAGTCAATTTGAACATTAAACAGAAAAATGTTGCGTTAGTAGTACTAGCACCGACGCAACCCAACTTCAAAACTTAAGCATCCAAATTTTCAGCATGCTTGAAAGTTCTAGGTCCAAAATCAGGCGATAAAAATTAACAAAAGCCTTGTTCTATAACTCCAAAGTTTCAAAAAAAAAAAAGAAAAGGATACTGTGGATTTGGGAGGTGCGAACCTGCAGCTCTTCAGATAAATATAAATAAGCTTTCACGGTGTGGACAGGCATAAGATAGCAAAATGAAACTTCACATATAAGATGAAAGTAACTGATTTAAGTCTCATAAAAACAACTTTATAATTAATGTTTGATATCAAAAGAACATCAAGAGGATGGCCGCCTTCACTGACCTGATCATATAACATTGTTGAATCTGTAAAAGCATATACACGGCGGATTTTGTTCTGCATAGCCTCTGTCAAACCATCCATTAAAGCTAAATAGTCAGCCACGGATTCCTCCACATAAAAGTCAAGCTTTTTCTGCACTTGAATAGCAGGGCTACCAATTGATCTCTCCATGACCACCCCAATTCCTGAAAACCCAGAACTAGAGTCTCCAGTCTCAGCTAAAGAGACGCCCTTGAAGAACATCTTCACTGAAAATTCATCGAGCTCTTCCTTTTGTTCTTCTTTTACCACCTCTTCAGTTTCCCTCCATATCTCATCATCTTCACAACAGCTCCGAAAGTCTTCCTCATCTTCTTCTACTCTAACTTTCCCAACAAAGGATACAGAGGACTCATCAGGCAAAACTTCTTGATCCTCCATTTTCAAGAACAATTCCTCCAAATAATCGGAACAAGCTCTGCTACTCTTTATACTTCAAGCAATTACTGATATCCAAACCTAAGCGAAACCAATTAGGATAAAAAAAAAAAAACCCATCTCAATTTGCATGTCACTTAAACAAAACGAAAGAAAAAAAAGTGATCTTTTCTAGCTCATATTTCTAGAATAAAATCCAACAGAACCCAACAAGGAAATTGACCCAGACCCCAGATTTTATCACCAAAAACCAGATGAAATCACAAAAAGTTGATCTTCTAGTTCCTGATTCCAAATCAGAATCTAACAAATACCCATCAACAGATCAATTCAAACCTCCAAACAAAAAAATTTAAAACTTGGTACTTTTAAAAGAACCAACCTCAACAATCCAATTACCCCAGAAAGGTAAAAAAAGAGTTAAATCCACTGAAAAATCAATCCCTCCTTTATTTTCTACAAAACTGCAGAAAGTAACTTACACAAAATAAATAAAATAAATAAAAGGGTATCAAACAAATGAAATGAAACTTCCATACCATTGCCTGGAACCTTATCTGGAAGGGCAATTTATGTGTTGTCTTTTAGATGGGTATTAAAACCCCTAATTTCTGACAACCTACTCTGCCCAGAAAATTAAAAAATATTTTTTTATTTTGCTGAGTATTAGATTGAGGAAGAATCAATATGTCTAGAGAGAAACAGAAAAATTAAATAAATAAAGAATCCATCAATTACTATTTGTTTTGGCGTAAGTGACAAGGATAGACCTTTAATTTTTACTTTGCTGAAATTTTTCTATACTTGATTGACTTAGATACAGGTTTGTTCTTACAATTTTATATATTCCATGTTACAATAAAAAAAATCACATGTACAAGGTTAAAACTTTCTAAAACCTTGATTTACAGTCCATGTTTAATTAATTATCAGTATTTTTTTCAAAAAAATATTTTAAGGATTGAAAATTTTGCATTAACAAAACATATTGTCATAAAATTTTAGTGTTTCTCATTAAATAAATTATTTTATACGTGAAATTTTTAAATTTCATAAATAATGTTAATAAAATTATACATATATTTTAAAATATAACAAAAATATAAAAAATTAGTTAAAAAAATTATTCATGTATTAATTTTTTACCTTCATTTATAAAATTAAAAAATTCATTAATAATGTATAAAAAATAAACTATTTATTAATGTAAAATTTATATTAATAGTATAAAATTGTGAACAAAATAAAGAGAATCAAGTGGGAATCTATACCATTATTATCTCAAGTTTCATTTGTTGATGGATAATAAAAGTAGTACAGTACTAGTCTATTCTTTTTAAAATGATTCCTTGGGCATCATTTTTAAGTA